TCCTCAATTATACCCAATAAAAAAAATCTGCGAAAAAACATTTCAAATTTACTAAATTATCTAAGAAGACCCCTTAGGGACAAGTGTTTCTTTTGATCAACTAACAAATTTTGCAAGAATTTGTTATTTTTTAAATTTGGAACTGATGTGTGGGTCCAGCCAACTTTCATTTTTTTTTTAAATTTATACAGGGTGCTTCCAATATCTATGAATTTTGACCTGATACAGCTAAACCAAGCACGGATTTGTTATCTACGACCAAAAATTAAGTTTACGTGTCCGAGCGTTTAGCTGTGATATTTTCACCTCCCTACAGTGTTATCCAATATATATTTCAAATATGACAATTAATGAGTGTATAGAAAAGTTTATAAATGAGGTGCATACTATACTTTTTCTACGAAAAATACTTATTATTAACTTAAAATGATTTAAATCAAAAATTTGTATAGAGCGCCATCTATGAAACAATAGGGGAATCTGTGAGTCACCGTCAAATGTCAAATTTTTATATTTTATAAACACAGATTATAAAGGTTATAAATCCAAATGTATTTCTTGAAAATTGACAGTTTTTCACAGTGAAAGTAAAGAAAATGTTTTATGGGCACTTTAAAGTGGAGTCCGTGCTTGAATTTAAGTTATAGTTTACTGCCGGCGAAATTAAAAGGTCAGTACAATGTTCATATAAACTTTTTAAATATTGGCGTTGAGAAACTATTTAATACTTTTGTATTTTTCTATTGAGATAATAAAATAATTTTCACATTTAATATTATTTTACAAGAAAGGCACTTTATTTTAACGATTGTATAACATTTGACAACTGTCAACTAACTTAAAACTAACTTCAGCCCGTGACTAAAAACCTTTTGCTAACTTCATCCCGTGACTAAAGCGCCATAAAGTCACAACTTGTCAATGTGTATTTAAAAGGTCACTTAGTGTCATGGAAACATGTACGATAAAGGGCGTTTTAAAGGTGGGAGTAGAAAAAATTATTTTGTTACCTCATCCATTGGGCATTATGACAGTGATATTTATTGGCGATTCCATTATGTTTAATTTGAAACCTTCTTCAACCAAATTGGTCGTTTTTAACTCAAGATAGGTATAGCCAAAATTTTAAAGATGCTTTTAAAAAGAAAAATTTTATAACCATAAAAATGTAGTGCGATTTTCGTGTTCAGCTGGCCAAAATGTATAAGGAAAATATAGTATAGTATTTTAGTTGCACCAATAATTAAATAAATAAAAAAATATAGATGTCGAGTTTATAAATAAAATCGGTTATTTTTAATTAAAAGTGTAAAATGTATTAAGTTAACTTAATACTTACGTAAGTATTTTGAACTCAAAAATATTACGATTTTTTTTCTTAAAAATGGCGAATGCGCCGGGGTTTGTACAAACGTTTTTTATTCTGTTTTTGTACTCCCACTTTATTCGTCGAGAAAAAAAAGAATAGTATGCAACTCGTTTATAAACTTTTCTAGACATTCATTTAATTAAACACCTAATTAAAATGCGTGACTAAAATGGCGTTTATCGAACTTGATACATAATATACTAATAGATACCTTCTATTTAATTTAACCTTTTGTTAGTACTTATTTTATATTGTAACAAATACATACATTAAATCAATAAAGCTTAAAATTTAACAATTATGTGTTTGTTTTAATTTAATATACTATTTGCGAATCACTAAATAAATAATGTAATTCGATTATTGTTAACGGAAAATGTGTAATATTATAATAAAAATAAGACAAAGGATCCTTGCTCGAGCACTTGCATCTACGTTTTTTTAACTTTTTTGTAAAGCGAACATTTGCAGAATTTTAAATTTAATTAATTGCATTAAAGCCTAAAAAAGCTTTTACATTCGAATGGAAATGTCGACTTATAACGAAAGATTATGTTTTTACATACCATTTTTAGCCTTTAGGTCTCTTTTTTAATTGAAAAAATGTTTGTTAGAGGATTTTCAATTATTTTACTTACCTGGTTTTATAAATTAAAAATAATAAATAGGTATTAAAACAAATTTAATAAATTAAAAAATAATAAAAATATATATATACTGGGTGTTTTTTGAGGTTAAGCAGAGATACATTAATTGGAAAAAAGTTGCACATTTTCATGCTGATCTACAAAATTTGACTTCGTTTTCGAATTATTGTAAAAAACAAAAATTTACACTGCTCATCAAAATTAACGCATAATAAGTAAAAAAATTCTAACTCTAAAATGCCTTTACCAATCTTTATAAAATTTTGGATAAAAATACTTTAACTTATATCGTTTACGTGTTCAAGGGTTTTTCGAGAAAATATTTTTAATATTTAATAATAAAAAACGCTCAAAAAAAACTTTCATAGGGAATTTTTAAGTATACCCTGAAAATGTTGCACAAATCAAACGAACAGTAACGAAAATACAGCGCTTTAAAGTCGTCAAAAATGACCACTTTTCAGCAAAATAATAAAAAAGGGGTCATTTTTACCGACTTTAAAGCACTTTATCTTCGTTACTGTTGCTTTGATTTGTACAAAATTTTCAGGGTATACTAACAAAAATACGGTCTTTAACACCATATTTTTTCATTTACTTAAAAAAAGTTATTTTTTAAACGTTTTTTGTATTATTAAATAAAAAATATTTTCTCGAAAAACCCTCGAACACGTAAACTAAGATATAAGTGTTTTTATAAAAAATTTCATAAAGATTAGTAAAGGCGTTTTAGAGTTTGATTTTTTTTTCTTATTATGCCATAATTTTGACGGCAGTGTAGTATTTTAATTTTATTTTTTTTATACCAAAAACGGTTAAAAATAGCATTTTTTAATTCATACATTATTAAAACACTTTTTCAAGAGGAATTCAAACCTGCCAAAATATTCTTGCTAACTTTCAAAACTGCCAAGATGAGATCCGAGATATCCATGCTAATCCATGAAAAACGGACACTCTGTATATTATACATAGGGGCTGGGTCAAATCATGATTCTGTTGAATATTTTCTTAAAATGTCATCAAGTTTGGAGCACTAGAACTTAAGTTTAAAGCGTGCTACCTAATATGAATTCACCTGTCATTTGTCAACATGACACCTGTCAAAGAGTTGCTTTTATATTTTTGCGAAAAAAATTTAAGTTCATTTTTTTAATCTGGGCTGCGGCAACGTTGCAAATTTAGGGTATTGGTTGGTAAATACAGTTGTCAAGTTGGTCGCATTGATTAAAACAAACTAAGCTAGTTATAAATCTAATTGTGGTTATGTATAAATTATTGTAGGTTACATTGTGCAGTTGTTGAGTTGAGTTGTCGAAATTCGTAGTTAAAAATGCAATTAATTTGGCTTTGGTGGTGCTTGGATGAGTAAAATCATATAAAAAAAAATAGCTAAATATAGGTTGCTTTAAGGCCCAGAAGAGAAAGTATTCCTAGCGGATAATAATCTTCGCTTTGAAAAGAATTTATATAAAAGAAATAAATTAAATTTACACTTTAGCGACTTTTCCGAAAAACGACATGGGGGTTGCCAAAATGCAACAAATAGGTGTGGAGGGATGTAAAAGTGCATAAACAATCGGCGCAAGGTGAAAAAGTTGTATAATTATCACGTAATTAATAAAAAAGGGGCTGATAATTGAAGTGACTTACAGCGATTTTCTGTGAAAAAGAGCATGTAGCGAGCCAAAACACATATATAATATACGTAGAATTTGAAAGTGAATTGAAAAAGCTTGAATTATGAAAAACAACGTCATAAATTGCGGAAAATGCAATTTTTAAAATCAGGTAATTTGAGGTTATGCAGGTTCACAATCCAGCTTGCCCATAGATATATTATACCTCTATTGCTCAATGGGGCGGGGGGGGCCAATGGGGCGGGGTCGGTTGGGTTGGGTTGTTAAGTTTGGGTTGGTTTGGGTTGGTTTCGCTCACCTTTGCCCATTTTAGTGTACCTGCATAACCAAGATGACAGCTAATCTTCATAACCTCAAATTACCTGATTTTAAAAAATGCATTTTCCTCAATTCATGAAGTTGTTTTTCATAATTCACGCTTTTTCACTTCCACTTTCAAATTCTACGTCTATTAGATACGTGTTTTTGGCTCGCTGCATGTTCTTTTTCACAGAAAATCACGGTAAGTCACTTCAATTATCAGCCCCTTTTTTATTAAATACGCGATAATTATACAACTTTTTCACCCTGCGCCGATTGTTTATGCACTTTTACATCCCTCCACACCTATTTTTGGCATTTTGGCAACTTTCCTGCCGTTTTTCGGAAAAGTCGCTAAAGTGAAAATTTACCAGAAATAAAAACTTTTTGTGAACGTAAATGTTGTCCAATGGTGAATAATGTGAAAATAATGTGTGATGTAATATTTATAAAACCAAATTCGTTACTTTTTTTACTCCAAAAATGTCCATAAGGCGATGTACTTTTTCTTCCATTGCGGCATTCGGCATAATTTCATCAAAATGAAGTTTTGCCCTCAAAAGGGCTTTTACATTCGAATTTGTTTCTATTATTTTTGGCATAATTATCTTTTTATTTATAATTGACAAGTAAATTATCAATAATAAATAGTATTGTCAATTTTACAGTGTCAAAGTATTTAATTAAATTCTTTAGCAGAAGTACCATTTTTAAATACTAAAAATACTAAGTCAAACTGGCATAAGCCAGCAACCTAACAAAAAAACACGAGTCCGGATAAAAAAATTAACTGTGTATGGATTTTAATTTTAAGATACATCTGTCAAATGGTTTACCAGCTTTAATAATTATAATTTAACTTTGGTTTTTGGATTTATTCTTTCAGAAATCCTACAAGGAATACAAAACCGCAAATTTGCAATCTTCCATTTTCTTTTAAGATTTACTAAATATTATATTCTGCAAAGTTTCTTTTGATATAATTGTTAAAAAGAAACGCTAGTGCAAATAAATCTATTAAACACTTTTTCCTTCTTTTCCCAGGTCCATGAGCGTAAATACGTCATGGAAATAGACGGACATCGGGACCTCAACATGGTTCTCAGCAGGAACGAGTGTCCAATTCCATTGGAAGGAGGCCACTACCAGAAAGTCGACTTCTTGGAACCCGAGAAAAACGAGTTGAAAGATACTGGATACCAGGCTCATCCGGCTGACTACCCCAACAGAGGAGACATCCCCCTGCTCAACACTCTTTCAGACTGTAAGAAAACGAGAAATATACCTTTATTTCAACAAATATTTTTATGCGTTGACTTTTATTTTAGACGGCGTCATCGAGGCCCTCAACAAGCTGATCACAACCATCAACGAGGTGAAACTCAAATGCGAAAGAGACAATCAAAATCTGGACCACATTCGTAGATTGTTGGAGGAATGTGAAGTGTGCAAACAGCGTCCTCCCCCACAATACATAAGGCCGTCTTGTGCGACCCATCCACCAAACTGCTTCGCAGGTAAGAAAATAAATAAATCCTATTTTTGATACTTTGGTTATAAAAACATACTAGCTTTAACTTAAATAAAAAAGGGGAATGCTCCACTTTAAAACATAACAGCATGTTTGTCTTCTCGAACGTATGCACTGATTGTTTATCTTGTGAATACCACAAAGCTCCGAAATGTATTTCATTCAAATAGTTTTGTTTGGTTTCAAAATTGTAAACATGCTTATTTAGAATATTTAAATTTATTTTATAATTAAAAATAACATAAATGTATATTATCGACTCCCCTTAATAATAAAAATAAAAAAATTGGATCCTTACAACTTTTAAAACTAGTCACAATAAAATAGTCAATAGTTAATAAATAAAAAGTTATAGATGATTTTTATACCTATTTCGTTACTTAAATTAAAAAATACATTAAATATTGTGCAACAGATGTTGCGGTTACTGGTACTAGATTTAATTTTTACTATAAGATAATATTCTTTATATATAAAAAATATATAATTTATATATAAAAAATATTATCTTATGGTAAAAATTAAATCTAGTACCAGGAATATATAATAAAAATTAAATAAAAAATTCTAAAATATAAAATAAAAAGTATTAAAAAATATACATTCAAAATTTAATATTTAATATTATTATTTGTCCCAAATAAATAAATATAAAGCTAAATGCTCTTCAAAAAGTAAACCTATCCAACAAAAGATATTCGTAGGTCAAAGTTTAAAAAAAAATTTATAACTTAGTTTTTTAATTTTTTCCTTGCAACGTATAACACAAATAACGTGCGCGATTTAGCTGTGCAATTGAACAAAATTTGTCGAGTAAGACTTCTGCCTTTCTCTCTTTTGTAAAAAAACTACCTATTTATTTCACTGTTAGTCTAGAATGGGGTTTTTGGGAAGCCACCAGGTCTAGTAATAACATAACATAAGTGGTTCTGCACTAACGCAAGAATTTTAAGAAATCATACATTTTGAAAATTAGAGCTTCACGGAGGTTAGGATTTAGTATGTTTTTTAAGCATCCCTTTGTATATTTGAAATAAGTTATTGTATCGTTTGACACCTTAATATTTTTAAAAATACAATACAGTACATATTTATAAAAAAAATCTACTTACTGAGATATTACACTTCACGGTGGATAGGTTTTTAAATAGCAAATTAATGAACTTAAACTTTTGAATTATAAAACAGCAACACTCCCATCTGCATATAAATAAACTGACCTTCAGGAATCACATGCATCTATAATGTCGTAAACAGAGGTTTTTGCTTATTTAAAATAATTAAAGCGCCATCCGTTGCATAAAATTTAAAGCAAAAACAGATTCACGGAGGATAGAATCAATTTTTGTAACACCTACATAAATGGTTATAAAAATTATTTCTTTTAATTTTTAATAATATTTTATATTTGATTCGATTGTTTTGGATGTGTTTAATTTACTTATAAGTTCTCTATAGAGAGATGCTTTTACTACCTCATGTATTTGAAAACATATAGGTTAACCTAGAAAAAGTAATAGTCACGGAGGATTTGTTTTAGACTTTTAAAACGTTGTAAAAAATAATTAATTGCGGTTAAAAATCTGGGACCTGAGCTGTAATATCTACTTAATTAGGAAAGATCAGAACACAATAAAAGTGTAGGTCAAACTCATTTAGTTTTATTAAATATCACGGGGTAACACCATCGGGGGATATTTCGTGATATTCACCCATAAACCTTTTTATACGAGTATCCGTTATTTATGGCCGGGTTAAAAAAAATTAAGTTATTTTGGAATTGTCACATACACAACTTTTGTGTAAAATATTTTCTCCACAAATATACCAACAAAGATGTTTATGTAAAAAAGGTCGATAATTCGATAGAGGTTTAGATCTCTTTGAAATAAACACTTCTTTCAACAAAATATTTTTATTTTCCCTACCTAAACATAATTAAAATTTTTTAATTAAAAAAGAGTAAAAGAGTTTTTTAAACTATGAATAATATTAATTTAAAAAAATATAATTGACCTAAACAAATTTAATGAAAGCTTTTCTGTTTAATTGTATTTAAAAAAACATCTTGACATGTTTAGGTAATCGAGTTAAAAATTATTTAAAAAATTATTTTGTCTGAATAGAACTTAAAAAGCTTTGAAGGAACGAGTAAATGAATTATATACTAGTAGGAGAACCACTTGATTTTAATAGCTTCAAAAGACTTTTCAACCACTATAAAAATGTTAATACATTAGTTTTCCTTTAAAATTAAAAAAATACGTAAAAACCTATTATTATATTTATTTTTTGCGTTACATTATTGGTGTTTCTTTAAAGAACTTTATTAGTTTATTAGCATAGATTTAAATTTACGATAAGAAATGGATAAAATAGTCTTCTAAAATATCAGTCAACAAAATTATAAATATATTCGAGTTAATAAGCTAATTTTTATAAATCTATGCCACAAATTTATAATAAAGATAAATAAGGAATTTTAGGATTTGTTTGGTAAAAAATGTGTTTTCTTAAAAAATAATAAGTGTATATACATATGTCGGGGATTCAAAAAATTAGACCAAAATATAGTTTTAAAGACCAACATTTTTAAAGTCATTCTTGACAAAAAAAATTATAAATGATTTTCAAAAAATTCTATAAATGTACCTAGTCTAATGTTTTTAAAAAATTTAAAAGCGTTAAATCCTAGAATAATTTAGATAAATTTCAACAAAAACTTATCCTATAATTTTTTTTATTTCTCTAGATATCCTGTTTTCAAACGTATTCAAAGGTTTTACATTTACGTACACCGATTATAAATGGTCTGTCCGTTACTTTTTAGGAATTAGGGTTTGGAAAAGATTTAAGATTAAAATTACATAAATGGATTGCCAGCTTAAATGTTATATTGATTATAACACAGCTGTGCACCGCGATGCACCGGTTTTAAAATCTGTTTGGCTGCACTTTGGATGCAGTGAAATTACACCAGAATGTGTTTTCATTAAAAAAACATTCACCATTTTTTTTGTTAAATGGCCTGATAATGTCTTATGGATTTTTATATTAAACTAAACTTTATTTAAGATTTAATGCCTATGGTACACTGTTCAAAATTTCATGACCATTTTAACATCAAATTAACACCATACATGGTCTATATCGATACAAACCAAAATGGTGTTAAATATGGTTCGTTGGTCCAGTGTAAATTCAAATACTAAATAAAATAAATTTTACCTGGTGTAAATTGAACTCCTTTACAGTGTTAAATATAATGTGTTTTTGGTCAAATTAAATCATACTACACAGAAAAAAAAGGGAAAAAAGGAAACAGGAAGTTCCTTGACGCATTACAAGTATATTACCAGTGGTATTATTCCAGAAAATTGAACCTTCAACTCGCTAGAGATAATGTTTTTAGTGCGTTCCACCAACTTAAAATTCTTCAAATATTGACAGTTGTTTCAACCTATTTAAGGTCTCTTTAGTATCGAACAACTTGTAGTGTCACACCAAAGCAAAGGACTACCTGAGCTTATATACTCTTCATGTAAGTCAACAGAGGCGAGATTTAAGAACATCACGTGATCCACACCGCCTTTGCCGCGATCGGTACACACTATGCAACAAGGAATGCACGGTAAATTTTTTTAATCGTTTTAACAGAGTGCTTTAGGTTGAAGTAACTCTTATTTTACAAACAACATATTTAGTAAACTGAACCATGCAGCGGGTTGGTTTCACTAAAGTTTTCTGGGTTAATTTAACGAATTTAAAAAAAATAAAATAACTATCTGGTTTACTACCGTCAAACTAATCTTTGTTTATATTAACCTTCCCACAGTTGATTTAATTAAATACTTATGGGTCAACTAAATTAATATAGTTAAATGAACTCTTCCTTTTTTTCTGTGTAGGTGCACTTCTCAAATATTTTTAGATAAACACTGTCTTGGTGTTTCCTGTATAAAACATTTTCAACCATAATTCATGGTGTTATATTAACACCACTTGGTGTTGGATTTTGACACCATTTTAAGATTACTCTTCACACCACAGATATTTTAAACAGTGTACACAATAAAAAAACAATACTCACCAAATCTCATTCAAATAGTTTAAAAGAAATTATTTTTTTTTCAAAAAAATATATGCAACTTTAACACCTATTTCTGAAACTGTTGAGTTTTCGATATATTTTTTATTGCTTCTCAAATTTTAATTATTAAAGGTTACATGTGTATACTTATTTTTCTAATTGTACGGGGTGGAACAAGAAAATCTGTCACTTTACTTATAAAATAGATTAGCTTGTTCGTTTAAGCATTGGATATTGTTCTTTTCAATTTGTTTATGAATTTCGTACGCTTCTAACAGTTAATTTGTGACTTTTTTCTTGTATGTGTAGAATTGTTGTATTATTTTCTATGTTAAAGTGGTGTCCTGTTTCTTCTAAATGATTTCCAAAATTTGAATTGTGATTGTTGTTGTTTATGTGTTCTTTTATTCGAGTATTGAATGTTCTTCCAGTTTCTGCTATGTAAGTAGCTCCGCAATCGTTGCAGGTCAATTTGTATACTCCATTCTGTTCTAGTCTATGTGATTGTTGATTTGCATTGAAGAAGTTATTGTATATGGTGTTAGTTTTAATAGCTGCTTTTAGATTATATTTCATAAATATAGCGTTTAATTTATTTGTAATGGGTCCCTGAAAGGTGATTCTTCTGTATTGATATGTTTCATTATTATCTTCCATATTTATTAATTTTAGTATATTTTTCCATTTCATTCGTTCTTGTATTTTGCTAATGGTGTTTTTATTAAATTGATTTTCTTTGGCTATTTGTTGAGATTTTCAGAATATGAATTAAGGGGTTTTTGGGGTTGCTGAATCTCAATGCGATTGAACAAATTATCTAAAATAAGCCCTAATATCCTTTTCACCTTATTTTACAACGTAAAATGCTAAATATAAAATTTTACTAGGGGAAATATTTAATTTCTCCAACATACAATTACCAACCAAATTTAAAGAAAATCGCATTATTAATAACTAAGGTATAAAGCCTGAATTATAGATTGCCTTCCTTCCTTCCTCCCGTAGTCGTGCCCGTACGATTTGTGCGTCTTGAAAAAAGTCAATTTATAGATTTCCTTGTAAAATTCCGTATCCTTGCACGATGACACCTAAATGGTTGAAATTTGTTTTCATTTATATTCTGCGTTTTACCCATTGTGTGTAAATATGAAAGATAATCATTTATATATTAGTGCAGTGATCACAATTTTAATTGCCCAGGCAGCTTGTTGTATACTGCCCAACTATGGAGAAAGGCAGTAACTGCTAAACAAGAAATTTGTGGGAAATTAGCATAAACTATATTTTTATAAAAAGCAGTAGGTAGGTATTTAACTGATTTATTTAACTTAAAAGATAGTTAACTGCATTTCTTTGTTGAATTAAGATACAAAATGTCCATAGCTTTATCATAGCACAAGAAAACGCATTTGTAGTTACTGCCTTTCTCCATAATAGGGCAGTATACTGCCCTACTATGGAGAAAGGCATTAACTGCAAAAAATTCAAAATGCGTTTTCTTGCGGTAAAGATATAGCTTTACCATAGCGCAAGAAAACGCATTTTGAATTTTTTTGTCCATATATAGACATTTTGTAACCAAATTCAACACAGAAATGCAGTCAAATATCTCATAAGTTAAAAAAATAAATTAAATACGTACTGCTTTTTATAAAAATGTAGTTTATGCTAATTTTCCACAAATTTCTTGTTTAGCAGTTACTGCCGTTCTCCATAGTAGGGGAGTATAATGAATAAAAAACATCGAACAAGACCTTGGAAGACTCGCCCACTTTACCAAGACCGGGAAACTAGGGGGTTTTACAAAGCAACGTTTTTAAAAATGAAAGACATTGATCATAAACAATATCTAAATAGGTATCATAATATAATAATATAAATAGAGACACAAATTATTTAATAAACTGAACACCTATCTTAAATAATACTAAACAATCACGTATTTTAAATATTTTGTGCCTACGAGCTGTCACCCTACAGCGCATGTCCATAACAGGCACTGTGATTGGTCATGTCAAAGACCTTTACGGTGAAAGATAAAACTTAAAAATTTCTACAGGAGGAAGGAATGCCGTCCTTACGGTACGGAAATCTATAACTGGAACTACGATTTAAATAAACATTTTTGACGTAATTGTCACCATTAACATTGCCCGTTATTAATTTTAATTAAACTTAACAATTATTGATACTTTAAAATATAAAAATAACTTCAAAATATGATTTTGTTAAGAAAATATTTTATTCTTTGATTTTTTTATTACTATAATTGCAAAATATTATGACAAAGTATTAAAAATTCTTACATGGGAAATGTTAATGGTGACAATTACGTAATGTTCATCTTCTACGGGAGGAAGGAAGGAAGGAAGGAAGGCAATCTATAATTCAGGCTTAAGGGTGGATTTATTAAAAGCGGGATAAAGAGTGTTCTTATTTGGAACATTCAAATTATTCATTTAACTTTTTATTTCGAGTGCACTTTTTGTACACTAAAAAGCTGCCAAGTATTCAATTTTGAACGTTCCATTTTTAACGACAAACCAATTCGTTTCAGGGGTGCAATGCCACGACACCAACGAAGGCCCGCGGTGCGGATCGTGTCCTCGCGGATACCTCGGCAACGGCTACGATTGCCGGCCAGGCCGCACCTGTGCCGAAAACCCTTGCTTCCATGGCGTGGAGTGCAGGGACACCCCGAACGGGGCCCAGTGCGGCAGATGCCCCGACGGCTACGAAGGCAACGGCCAGCAGTGCGTCAGAAGGAACCCTTGCGATTACAATCCATGCGCACCAGGTACGTCAAGCCCTTACGGTTAAGTGTGTGGGAATGTTGGTGAGTCGGGGTTTTGTTTGGTAAATGGCATATAATATTTTGTTTAAAAAAATATACGAATTATAGTTTTACTCTTAGACCATACACGATATGCATACAGTATGTCCTTAAAGTCCCGGAACATGAGATTATTTTAAAAACAGTAAATTTAAAAAAAAACGCTGAAACACGTCAACTTTGTTATTTTTTTAGCAATATTTTGGCATATGTAGCCACAATCAAAGTCAGTTTTTTTTTAATTGCAACCCTTTATTTTTTTTGCATTTTTGGATAGCTACCGTTGTCCTGATTACATTGAAGTGCCACATCTGAAGGGTTACATAAGAAAATTTTTGAGAAAAGCAGGTTTTTGCCGCCGAATGAGATTTTGGTATTTTGTCAAACTTAAACACCATCTATGCGTTGCTTAATGTTTTTTGGAAAGCCAATCAGAGCAGTTGCTGAAAGTGTCCACCGTAAACTATTTGGCAGTGGGTCAGCCTGTCTAGAAACGAGCGTTGTACGTTTGCCAGTACCGCTGGAGTGATCATCTGGATCTCGGCTTGAATGCGGTGTCTTAGGTCGTCCAAATTTTAAGGCCTGTTTACATAGACGCGGTTTTTAAGATGTCCCCATAAAAAGAAGTCTAAAGGGTTCAAATCGGGCGATCGCGCTGGCCACTCAATTTGACCCCTTCGACCTATCCAGCGATTGGAAAAGACCTAATTTAAATAATCCCTTACTAGCAATGCATAGTATAGTGATGCCCCGTAACAGCGAATAAGTTCGTCAAAACCAAAATCTCAATCAGCGGCAAAAATCTACTTTTCTCAAAAATCTTCTTAAGTAAACATTCACATGTAGCATATCAATGTACTCAGGACAACTGTAGCTATCCAAAAATGCAACAAAAAGGGTTGTAATTTAAAAAAAACCTTACTTCGATTGGGGCGATTTGGAACAACTACATAGGCTAAAATATTGCTAGAAAAATAACAAAGTTGACGTGTTTCAGCGTTTTTTTTTTAAATTACCGTTTTCAAAATAACCACATGTTCCGGGACTTTACGGACACACTGTATATAATTAGACATATTTCAAACTTTAGGAAAATAATACAGTTTATACTTAAAAGTCTTTCATTGTATCCTTTGTTAGTAAACTGTCAGACCAATTTAACCTAACTTTACCAAGTTACATCTTGTCAATGTGAGAGTAGATAACTACACTGAGAGAAAGAAATATTTGTTAATAACGAGGCACGTTAACTATTAACATATCGTTGAGTTGGATATGGCGAAAAAAATATTAATTTGGGTCTAAGAACTGGTTAAGTTGAATTAAAGAAGCTCATAACGTATTAGCAAATGTAGATATATTAACTGTTAATATATCGAAATTCCGCTCAATGTTTTGAGAATATTTGCAATCATTATTTTTGTATTTTTCTCAAATGGCTTTTTTCATATTAAATAAAATGTGTGTTGGCTATAGTTTTAAAATGATACCAGCGAATATTTTGTAAACTAATCAAAGTATTCTTGAACAGTTGAGAGAAATATTTTGAATTATTTTAATTAGTGGTTTTGTGTTTGTCAAAATAATATTTTGATTTACCTAATTACATTAAAAATAAAAAATACTATAAAACTATCGTGCTTTTCTTATCAAATTAATCCCGCCTTTCTCACAAAGTTCTTGTAAAAAACTTCGGCAACGTCACATGCTTGCACATATTGCATTTAAAATTATGTTGACAAATGTTTAAACGTTTTATTCGAATTTAGGTATATTAACTGTTAATATATCACAGTTCTAAGACAACTTTAAATATTATTTATTTGTCTGAAACACAATCACCGGACGATGATATAATAATTAATATATAATTTGTACAGGATTATGAAATTGTTTAATAGTTAACATATATTTTGAAAAGATCGCAACTGTTTTGATTTCTTAATAATAAATATTTCTTTTTCTCAGTGTATGTATCAAGTTTTATATACGCGATTTTAGTTGCATACTACAAGTTGCATACTACACATAGATTAATTATTTTTAATCTATGATACTACAGTCGCGGCCAAATCTCTAAGGGTGCACGTCATCAATGCATCGGCATTACCAACTTTAAATTGGGTCATTTTATATTTGACTTTTTTTTTGTAATTTTGACATTTCGTTCATTTGTTTCATTTGTTGCAGATAATTGTTTACATTGTGTTTATCATATTCTACCACTGGATTGTGCATGTTATTAGATTGCGAAGAAATTGCTCCCTTAATAATAAATTTTGGGTAATAATCAGACTCTAAGTCTGACCTGGTTCGCTCTGACGACAAAGACGACTGGTAATTTACTCTCTAAAAATGAATTAGTCAAAAATGACTATTAGTGGCTGCTTTTTCACTTGTACCATGGTTAAATATGGGATATCATGGTATCCCAAAATTTAAAAGCCAATTCTTATGTAAAATTGTCCCCTGAATCCGAAAATATCAAAGTTAAAAAAGTAGAACAGTTTTTGAGATATAGTCAATTTTCCATTTAATATGGAATTGACTGTATCTCAAAAACTGCTCCACTTTCATAATTTTTGACGGTATTTTCGGATTCAGGGGACAATTTTACATAAGAATTAGCTGTTAAATTTTGGGATACCCATGGTATTCCATGTTTAACCATGGTACAAATGAAAAAACAGCCACTAATAACTAATAAATTAGTAATTTTTGAATAATTCATTTTTAAAGAGTAGTATTTTTGTGTTTCTGGTAATTTAGTAATTATGAATAGACCTTAACGCTGACGTCATATGCCGTTGATGACGTGCACCCATGCTATCTTCAGCCTGTGACTAAAATGCCCTAAAGCCAGCACTTCAGCCAGTACTTAGATAAAAAAATATTATGCAATCTTTTAATCATCCACTTAAAAGTCGCGATTTTATTTATACAGTGTGTCCACGGATGGACTTAACTATACCTACTTTATTTTAAATTTTTCGAGGAAAAGTCATTTTTCGAGGAAAAGTCATTTTTCATAATTTCTTTTGCTTGTTAATAATATATAACTTCAATTCGCGTTGAAAAACATCCATTTTGCTGTACAGGGTGATCAAAAATACTGATTTTTAAAATTAAAAATTTTTAAATATTTTTTTTGAATCGCCAATATAAAGAGATGGTAAAGACAAATCAAAAAGTCAAATGATGTTTTTTCATATGAGTTTTTGATACTAATTTATTTGATATTGAAAATTTAAGATATTAGTTTTCAAATTTTAATATATAATTGTAGACATTGTAGACATGTCAGTTGAAAGCAACAACCTTGAGTCATAATCACAAAATAACAGTCAATTTCTACAAAATAATAGGACCACTCATGAATTAATTTTATTTTGAATAACAAATATCTTAGTAACAACAACTCACATGAAAAAACTTCATTTGGCTTTTTGGTTTCTCCCTACAAGCTCTTTATATTAGACCTTTAACAATTTAACAATTTTTAATTTTGCAAAATCTACAATTGTATTTTTTGTGCGCACCCTGTATAACAAAATAGAAGTTTCTGATCATGAATGAAATATATATATCAAGCGAAGAAATTATGAGGAGTGAATTGAAATTAAATATTTTTACAATTATAGTTAAGTCAATCGGTGGACACACTGTATATTGGCATATATTATATTATTTCGTAATGCTTATTCTGACGTATTCTAAGACTGGATCATTCAGTGGGGGAACCACGGGGGGCATTTGGGATCAAAAAAACAAAATTTTACATTTCATATTATTCATATTATTATTAAGTAATAATCCGAAGAAAAGTACAAAAATTGTTGTGGACCACCCTTTTCAAAATTCTGGATCCGCCCCTGGGATCATTGCTTACCAGATTATGTTTGTCCCAGTTATTTCATTTACCTGTATAGGCTTTTTTAATTGTTCTCATTTTTTTAAATCATAAAATATTTTTTCTTTAATTTAATTTATAATCTTTGATTTTTTTATTTGATTTTGTTTTACCTGTTTTTTTTATGGTCATGTTCTTCTTGAATTTTGTTAATTTTCTTGGATTTCCCTAGGTTTAGGATTCTTCATATTAATTTTTATCTACTCCTATTTCATAATTTAGGGTTTTTTCCTTGAATATTGATAAACATTATAAATTTCCAGCCTAACAAAGTGAATAATAAACTTTTAGTCATCAGTGATTCGCCGATTTTAATATTCACTGTGATTTGAACCAATCAGGTTTTAAATTGAAAGAAGGCGACTATAATAACATTTAAAATTGGTAAAAAGTAAGGTTTACCATTTGACAGATGTCAGATTTTATTTATTTAATTTTGAAAACCATTTAATTATCTACTTATTGGAGTAGATGAAGTATAGTATTACACTAGAGATTATGCGCATTATTCACTTTGATGATTTGAGTCTCTCGTCTGACGCAAACCTTATCTTCGTAAATAATAGTCTGCTATAATAATAATATACTATTATTTTATATTTTAGGTTTTTATCTGACTTTTCTAAATTTTCCAATTTACCTTGATTTTTAAATTTTGTATTAATTTTCTTGAATTTGTTCTTTTTATTTACTATTTTTTACTTTTTTTAAAACTTTGTTTTCAAATAATGAAATATCGAGTGTAATACTTTGTTTTCAAATGATGAAATAACTTATAAAAATATTTCACATATGTTAGCAAAATTATTTTTGAAACATAAAATTTCAAATAGAAATAAAAACCAAAATGTTTATTGTCATAAAAATATTATATCCCATTTACTAAGTTTTATTACAAACAACGATTTGAAGATATTTTGTGATGATTGTTGGAATTTTATTACATTTTTATTGATTGATAATAATTGCTTTTCTAATAAATTCTTTTAAATTTATCTATAATTCAAAAAATTAAATTTCCCGTTACTGTATTTTGTGTACATAAAAGCAGTGG